GCTTCGTTAGGGTCAAAGTACTGCGGATCACCAAACTCGTCCTCAGTGACGAGTTCAAATCTAGTTTTTTATTGGTTTTTTCACACAATTGAAATACGTTATACAGTATAATGGGAAAATAATGTAAGGTATTGTTATTATCTTAAATAATAGACAACAATAATCATTAAATAAGGTAAAGTATTGGTGTGAAAGGAAGTCATAATAAGTTATAAAAACTTTAAGGCATGACCACCAGATAATCAGTCGCATGCGACGTAGTAGGCCTAATAATTATTATTGATATACATTTGCATACATAAAATACATGCACACATATACATATACACATGCACACATACATATACACACACACACACACACACAAACACACAAGACCACTTTTAGTACTGGTCTTTAATTAGAGGAATTCTAATTAGAGACCAAAGCTGCTAAAGACCACCCTGGTCCCAAAAGTGGTCTTTAATTGGAGGGAGACCTACAATTATCAAAGCCACAGTACATTAACAGAATCAGTAATTGTGCACTGGATATACAGTTATATTGATATTGTATTACCATATGTTTTTAAACGTACAAAATTATGTTTTAATTTAGAGAGAACGTAAGCCACTCAGATTGCTGCTATTTTAACCCTTTGAAGTCGCGAGGAGGAAGTGCTTAGTTTATGGGTAAAAAAATACCCCTTTTAGGCCCCTGAATTGCAATTTTTGGGCACTTGACCTTTGACCTAGGTCAAAAAAGGTCAACAATATTTACATTTGTAGATACTCATGCGCATGTATTCCATCCAGCAAACAAAACATCATTTGCTAATTTCAAGGGTCATAATAATTACCCTTTTTCTAACACATTGAAAATACCCAAATGGAGCCCAATATTTACATCGGACTTCGATAAAAAAAATATTCATAATAAATATAAAATCATGAAATAGGCAAACACAAATATTTTTTTCCTGTAGAAAACAACATATTTCACATAATATGTAACATTCATGAACATAGGAATTTTTTTCTTGACGTTTCCAAAGGGTTTTTGGGTAAAAAAATACCCTTTTTAGGTCCCTGAATTTCAATTTTTAGGCACTAGACCTTTGACCTAGGTCAAAAGGTTAAAAGAAATTGCTATTTTTCGGAAGCCTAAAACATATTACACAACAATCAAACCATCGTTTATTGAAAGTTGCAGTCATAAAAATGTATTTTACGTTTTTCATAAACCTATTAACAACCCCTTAATGGGAATCAGTGACTTGGGAAAAGTCATTTGGGACTTCAAAGGGTTAAGTTGATTTTTGTTAATCTGATTTGAAGAAGTGTCATACCTAACCATTATTGTTGACAATTTTTGATAATATTCAATGAATTATTAGGTTGTTCATGCATAACATGTTTTATAGACATTATAAGTTCTTGATTGTTAGGAGCAATGAAATTCAGTGGCGTAGCTAGAGGTTTTGGTGCCCGGGGAAGAGAGTAGAAAACTGTGTCCCCCTTCCAATCCATTAAAATACTGTGAAATAAATTGATATTGGTTGTATAGGCTTTAAACATATCCGTACCTTATGTCCGTATAAGGCACTGTAAAAGCACTGTTCCAGCTCTCATATAGTAGGATCTTTCTTACGAGGTGTGGCGTCAGAATTTGCCCGATGGGGGTGGGGGGGCGATGGCCCAACGAGGAGGAAAATTTCCCTGATGAGAGCAATGTGGGCGTTGTCGATCGTCGCTTATAATGTTACGAAAGTGGTCTGGGGTGGCGAAGCCCCGAAAATTTTTGAGAATCTATGGGTTTCAAAGGCTTATTTAATTCCCCCCCCCCCCTTCCAGAGATCTTAACGGTTTGGCGCACACACAGGCTACCACCAGATTATCCGACTGAGCTAAGCTGCTCTCTCATGATGATGGGCAGACATGTGATGTAGAATAGAAGTGTAACTCTATTAATTAACAAATATATAAAATAAGTGGACAAAAAAGAAAACAACAAGGTGACTATTTTGAAGCATAAATTAAAAAAAATAAATAAAAATCAGGAGCACCTGCTCTCCCCTTTTAGGGTTATGAATCTAGGGCTATTTTATGCTTATAAATGAAATGAAAAGACCAAAGGGTTGTGGTGTGATGTTTCAAACAGTAGACAGCATGATTTGGAAAAATTTATGTGTTTAATTTTGCCATCATTACTAATCACTACAAATTAAACATGTTTTTACAATTACTTTATAATTATTGTTAGCATGCAGACTATAAGAATTCATGGAGGAGGCTGAAAGAAGAAGGAATCTTGCAGGAACGATTAGCAGATCGTTTGTGGAAGGATGTTGGGGTGTCAAAGGAATTCTTGTTTGAGATTATGAACCAGTTCTATCTTATTTGTGAGAAGATGTGTTCAGAAAAGGTATGATCTTTGTTTAAAAGCCCCAGTTTAAATTTTATTGTAGCTGTACAATGTCCTTACCTTCAAATACCAAAGTCCTAGGCTCAAATCATGATATATGTTTTCTCAGGACTTAAAACAGCTCCTTTTAGCTTTAATGTCAGCCATTGTTGTCAGTCACCCAGATAGGTTGGTTATTGTAAACAATTAAATTATTTTGGACTTGCTTGTTGTGGCAATATTTGATGTCTAACCCTGAACGCACACATCATCAAGCCGAAAGCTAAAAGTCGTTGACTTGTGATGTCAGATGAAATGTGTCTGGTTGAATTTAAGAGAAACCTGGAAGGGATTTTCTTTTTTATAAAATTATTTTTATTTCTTATTCACCAATCAACAAGCTGTATCGAGTTTCGATTGTTAATTGATATTGTTGTTGATGACAGTGGTGTTAGAAGGCAATGCATGTGATAGCTGGATTGATGATAATGGCTTGATTGATGATAATAGATAAATTGATGTTAGATGGAAAACAGATAACGTGTGGATCAGTGATGGTGCCAGGATCTGCCTGAGATGAGCAGGGGTGGGGCTAAAGGCTTTGGTGGGGGGGGGGGCTAGGCTAGGCAAGTGAAACGAGTCTCACTTGGGAGCCGCCTAAGGTCCCCTGTAGAAGCTACAGTATTAGAGGAATTTTGGTAGACCTCAAACTACCGTAATATGATTTCCAAAACTGAAAAACAAAAGTGTGCATTGAACCAAATAATTTATTTGCAAATCTGTTTTTCATTTTATTTATTAAAAAAACACCATATTTCAATACAATACTGTACTTTCATAGCGAAATCCAGGTTTTTCCTTATCCATGTGATTGTGAAATATTAACAACACAATTATGAAAGAAATGCCTTAATGTAAAAAGGTCACCAAGTTGTGATATTATACTACAATAAATTTTTAAAAAACTTGTCACTGGGTACATCACAAAAATTCTACATCTCACGAAGCACTATATTTCAATGTATTGACTATTTATTAACTGTTTATATTTGCTTACTTTTTTTATCTGACTGTTTATTTTTTACCTTTGCCTTTTGATTGTTTTTATCAATTTGTAGTGTGACAGTATGTTTAAGTTTTATATTTATGTAGTGTAAGTAAAGAAGAAAGAACAAATTGTTTTGTTAATGCTATTGCCTATTCTCTTTTCTGGCAAATGATACTGTATATATAAATATTATTTTGGAAATTTTGCCTGAAATCTGTCAACCACGCTGTCAAGGTATTCCAAGCATCATGAGGATATTCGAACAAGCATTTTGTTATACTAGAACGCAAATCATTTTTAATTAGTCTTGTTAAACTAAAATTGTGTTCACATTCGTCTGACAAACAGGCAAAACGCAAGCCACTAAATTGAAAAAAAAAATGCTTCGTCTTCCTTTTCTAGATAAGAGTGTAGCTCGAGAAGGGATCCTGGTTGCTGTTCTGCTAACTTGCATTCTAATACATCTTCGACCGTAATGAAATTTGAATTGACAGGTTTTTGGGTCGGGTGTCAGAATTTGGGTTGGGATATTTATTTGCTTTAAAAAATTAAGTTTGTGTGTGTCTGTGCTATGTTCAGCTTAAGCTATTTTATGTTTGTATTGGTTTATGGAAGTTGGAGAGGCACGCCCTTCAGTGATAGTAGTTTTTACCGTTTTTGGCTCTCCGTAGCTTTCCTCTTTCATTTTGTAGGCTTCCAGGCTTTCCCGACCCCCCTCAGCCCCCTGGCAACACCACTGCTGTGGATGGAGGATGCATGATTGAGAATGGATGATGGAAGATGGAGTATGAAGGATAGATGGATGATGGTGTGGTTGATAAATATAGGCCCCTAGTCCATGATGGACTGAGGATGGATGATGGATAGATGATGGAGAATGGATGATAGATGGCAGATAATAGATGTTGAGCTGTGTGGATGATGATGATGATTGAAGATAGATGGTGTATGGAGGATAGAAGATGGAGAGGGATGGATGACAGATGATGCTGTGTGATGGCCAAGGATGGTGGATAAAGGATCAAGAATGTAGGATACATCTATGGTAATATATGGATGGCTGATCAACAGATGATTGAAGATTGATAAATTGATGACTGATTATTGATGATGGATGATTAAGAATGGATGATTGAGGATGGATGATTAATAGATGATTGGTGATTGAGAAGGAATGGCTGATTTAAAGAATGATTGAGGATGGATGATTGAGAAGGGATGGCTGTAGATGATTGAAGATTGAGGATGGATGATGGAGAATAAATAAATGATTAATATAATATGATGGATGATTAAGAATGAATACTGATTAATAGATGATGGATGATTGATAATGGATGGCTGATTAATAGATGATGGATGATTGAGAATGGATGGATGATTAACAGGTGATTTTTAAGATTGAGGATTGATGATAGAGGATGGATGGCATATTAATAGATGATGGATGATTAAGAATGGATGGCTGGTTAATTGATGATTGAGGATGGGTGATTGAGAATGAATAACTGATTGATAGATGATGGGTGATTAAGAATGGATACTGATTAATAGATGATGGATGATTTTGGAAGGATGGCTGATAAATAGATGATTGAAGATTGAGGATGAATGATTGGGAATGGATGGCTGATTAATAGATGATTGAGGATGGATGGCATGGATGATTAAGAATGGATGGCTGATTAATTGATGATTGAGGATGGATGATTGAGAATGGATACTGGTTGATAGATGATGGATGATTAAGAATGGATGGCTGATTAATTAATGATTGAGAATGGATACTGATTAATAGAAAATGATGGATGATTGAGGATGGATGGCTGATTAATAGATGATTGAAGATTGAGGATGAATAACTGAAAATGGATGATTAATAGATGATTAAATATTAAGGATGGATGATTGAGAATGGATGGCTGATTAATAGATGATGGATGATTGAGGATGGATGGCTGATTAATAGATGATGGATGATTGAAGTAAAGTTTGGTATTTTTATTTTTGATATGAATATTTAGGATGTAGGATCTGAATCATCCGAAGCTGGAAGGCTATTCCTTGTACCCTGTCTCTTCAAAGACTTCAAGTGTAATCCTGATGACCTTGTGGAAAATAAGTTTCCTATGATACGTTTCTTCATGGACTTCCAAGGGTTCCTTCCCAGCGGACTCTTCCATAAGGCACTCGTTAGGATTATTGCCTGGTCTCAGGATCAAGGAGGTCGTGATCTGCCACTATATCGCAAGCGTGGAGAGTTCTATGTAGATCATGCTCACGACATGGTCTTGCAGTTAAGTCCACTTGACAAGTCTACGGTTGAGGTGAGTACTTGTTTTTAAACAACATATTATTTAAAAATTGATATACTGTAACATATTATGTGTTGTGTATTTTAGCGGTTATCCTTTAATGATAATTACTTTTTACTATATTCATTGTCTTTTGAGGTGTTGATCTGAACTATTTAACTGTTTGCTCCCCTTCAGGTTATGATTCTGAGGGTTGATGGAAAAGCACAGGATCCTTGTAAAAGGATTTGTAGAAAGGTAAGTTTACCTAATATGTTTTAGTTTAATTAATGACCAATCAAAGTAAGTGTGTTAGGTTCTAAGAGTAAAACATTAATAAACTTAATTTATTTGATGAAAATTGTAATCAGCATATTTTTTTGTGTGTTAATATCTGTGCTAGTTCTACAAGTGATATTAAAACATATTTACGATGGAGTAGAATCTTGGGCTTTGA